ACCTATTAGCTGGTATCAGTAGATTGAAGGGTCTTGTTCAGTTTAGCTTGTCTTGTTTAGCTGGTATCTAGTTTACAACTCAGTAGATTGAAGTGTCTCGTTCAATTAATCCCCACCTATTAGCTGGTATCTAGTTAACAAATCAGTAGATTGAAGTGTCTTGTGCGGTGACACAACAAGGAATGATCAAGTTTCAAACCTGCGGTCGTTTGATTACAAAGTCAAAGCATTATCCATAACACTGGGTACTGCCCCCAAAATTATACACATAAAGTAAGTTTTGTTGTAGAATTTGATCAAAATTAACCTCTAATAAAGAATGGAACTGATTTTCCTTTGTATGAATTTATTATAACAAAAAAATTTAGATGTTTTCATTGGGATAAAAATAAAATTTAGTTGTTTTCTGAATTCTTTTTTAGGTGTTTCAAAGCATTTATTTTATGAAGATTTTTTTATGTCTAAATACGTTATGCTCCATTAGTATATATATGTGTGTAATTTATAACAACCTGAAAGAAATAGCCTCTCGTGTATAAGAAGTGAAAATAATAAATTGTATTTTTATTGTGACTAAGTATATGATAAACTTCGTGCTATAACCATTCTTCATTTTTATTCTAACAAAGAAAATTCAGATTTTTTTTGTCCACTATCTTTAATAATGGTCTCTGCTTTGTTATGATAACATTGATTCGTTTCTCTTTCCTCTTGTTCGTGATAATTTTGATCTCTTTCTGTTTTCTCAAGACTTAAAAAGGGCAAGCAGCTGGAAAAAGAAAAGGATCTCAAGGAAGTTCGAAGGGACCTAAGTCTCATCAAATCCCCAGCAGGTAGTTGAATGTTGTTTTCATTGGTGAATTTGAGTTAACAATTTAGTATAGCAGATAAGAAATTTAAATTAGTTATGTTTTATTCTACAGATGTTTACTTACAAAGTTATCAAAGTATAAAATCAGTGTATAATGAAACTTGATATTTAATTTAATTTGCAAAAACTTTTAATTAGTTAAATAATTATGCAGATGTTTCAGCTACTGTATATTATTAGCTTTAAAATATTTCAAATATTTTTCTTCCATAAAAAAAACTGAAAAGTAATTTTAAAAAGATGCGAGACCTTTGTTATATGTAATTGAAATGGTTCTCAGGATCTATTTATTTTTGTATCTTCCAGCTTCAAAAGCCAAAATGGAACAACGATTGATGGAAGTTGTGAAAGAAAATTCGGACCAGGAAATGGAGGAGAACGCTTGATATGTGTAGTATTGGTGAAGAAAAAAAAACATTTTGTCGGTGTACTGAGATTGATAAGTGAGCAAAGTCTAATAAAATTGTCTCTCTTAATGATTATTTTGCCTCGTAAGGTATATGTTTTCATCAACTTTTCACTGACTTCCAGAAATAAAGTACAACTTAAAAGAAGTCTAGTGTTTTATTTTTCTTACGAAACATTTTTAACTTGGGGAAATAAACTTCTTTTTTTTTATAATGGGTGAAACTTGAGTAAGCTTCTGGTGGCTCTAAGTACTCTAGATTACATGCTATTGTAACTTTAAACTCAATGAATACACAATTCTCAAATAGTTTTTATGATTATAATTTCTTGTATTTTTAGATGATTCAGCTGTTTGTAAAATAGTGACAGCAGCAGATCGTGAGAAACTATTTGGGGGGGTTCAGAACATTTTAGGCTGGGGGCAGTGATTTGGTGGGTTTGTAATATTTAGTAAAAACTGCTCATTCCTTACATTTCTGTTTATTTGACTAAGGAGAAAAAAGTTTGTTTTTCTGTGATATGAGAAATTGTTTTTCATATTCCTGTCAACGATCGTGGTGCTATGAACAACACTAACAAAAGTAATTGTACATTCTGAACATAAAACACTTTCCTATTTATAGTCAGCTGTAAGAATACTGGCAAATCTGCAACAGTGTTCGAGGGAACACTTCCCTGTGTCTTCTGACTGCCACTTCTTCTCCATCATTTTCACCCTAATCACATCGAGGGAACACTTCCCTGTATGGAGAAGAAGTGGCAGTCAGAAGACACAGGGAAGTGTTCCCTCGATGTGATTAGGGTGAAAATGATGGAGAAGAAGTGGCAGTCAGAAGACATTAGGGTGAAAATGCACATCGAGGGAACACTTCCCTGTGTCTTCTGACTGCCACTTCTTCTCCATCATTTTCACCCTAATCACATCGAGGGAACACTTCCCTGTGTCTTCTGACTGCCACTTCTTCTCCATCATTTTCACCCTAATCACATCGAGGGAACACTTCCCTGTGTCTTCTGACTGCCACTTCTTCTCCATCATTTTCACCCTAATCACATCGAGGGAACACTTCCCTGTGTCTTCTGACTACCACTTCCTCTCCATCATTTTCACCCTAATCACACTACAGTTGTCCTATCAAATGTTTATCCATTTTTATCTTTTGTTCTCCAGTGTAGTCTGCTAGCAAGTCAAGGCACTTGCATAAGATTTAATAGTTATGGCATGCAAATAAACAAAGCATTTTAACAATAAAAATTTGATTTCAGTATTCAAGTAAACAAAATAGACCAAAATTACTAGAAAAACTGAAATTGAGAGGATTACATCTGAATTTAGGGAATCAGGAGACAGACCTTATGGTCAGGTGGTGCAACTGTCAGGGAATGGTAATATTTACATTTCTTTTCCAGCTGTGCAAGTTAATTGATCAATCTAGTGGCTTTAAGAAATACAAGTTCTAGTAAGTAATTATATACAGAGTTTAGAATATTAAGTAAGAAAACTTTCTTTGTTTTTAGTGAAAAAAAAAATTACAAAATATTTTTCAAGTAAATATTTCATCCTACTAAGCTACTGCTAAGTATTCACAAAATATTATCTAACAGTTTCAACCTTAGAAAATTTTTCCACCATAGCTTTTTAAAGTTGCTGCAAAAAGGATCACCATTAACCATGAAATAAGGGCGTGAATTTTATGACCTACAATTTCCTAGAATACACTGAGGATCAGGTATTTCAAGTACCAGAAATTGAACTTTTAACTTCTTATATTCAGATGGATATTAGGTTTTTAACTTTTACCATGATACAGGTTATCATTAAGGAATTATTAATATTGCTATGTACTACCAATTGAAAATGATGGTAACAGCTTCAGCCTCTAGTGCTACTGTGTCTTTGTCTGACAATACTATATTTTCAGTGAATTTTAAAGATGTTTACGTAAGATTAGTAACCTGTATTAACTCGTGCAGTGCTGCATATCGTGTATTAAAAAGTTGATATGTTTGTATTATTAGTTTTAGATTTTGTTACTAGTTCCACTGTTTGAAATTGTTATTAACATGTGTATGATATTCCTATAAAACAGTGTAACCAAGGCTGCATAGAGGTAATTGGTATTGGTATCTTTAACAATGTAACAAGTGGGCTAAATGTCCAGTTCAGAGAACCCCCCCTACCACAACTCTGGCAAAGCCATCCATAATTTAGAATTGCTGACAAGAGAGAAGACAGCCAGTTAAATGCATTCTTCACTGATTGACGGTAAAAGTTATGGTGTTTCCACAACTGAAAGTGCAGTGTGTATTAAACAGCTTATTACAACTGAAGTTGAATATGTAGACCAGCATGTTAACCACTAGGCCACACTGCTATCACAGAAGATGTTAAATACTACAAGCTACCTTATTTTATGCCCGGTTAAATGAATGTTTTGAATTAATTAAACATATTAATGATGTTGCATATTTTATCACATCTTAAATATCAGACAACGAGAGGAATGCTTTAATTAGAAGAAAAAAATTTTGTTTAAAGCTATTACCTTCAAAAATAAAAGTTTTTTACTTCCATGTGAAAAATGTTTCTTGGAACAGGTTTGTATAACTGAAATTAAATGTGGATGTAATACAGTAACTTATTCTTGAAGTTCAGAGTTTTGTTTGACAGTCAACATGGTTTCTGTAACCCGTTGACTGTGGCTGCTCTAACCAAATGCAGAATGTTTACAAACTGTACACCATGTACCGCACACACTCATTCAACTGCTGGAGGTGGACCATACCCTCGACGAGAAATCAACAGTCAATGGGTAAAGGGAGGATCTTGTCTTACTAATCTTTTGAGATTCTTTGAAAATATAACTGTTTATGAGGTTAAGGGTGTGGATGTAATTTATCTGGATTTTCAGAAAGCATTTAACGAGGTATCACATAAAAGGCTCATTTAAAAACAAAAAGATGTATAGTTGTGGGGGGGGGACAGTTTGGCTTGGATAAAATTGACTAGACGGCAGGAATCGGAGGGTTGTTGTAAATGGAACTCAGAAACTGGATTAATGTCACCAGTGGGCTACCTCAGAGCTCAGTGTTAGGATCTTTGTTCATTTTGATTTACATTAACGACAGAGATGAAGGACTGGTCAATAAATTATTAAAATTTGCTGATGATGTTAAGGTCTTAGGTATTACTGGCTGTGAGGATGCTGCTGCTGCTTTACAAAAAGACTTACGTAGGTTTATAAATTGGGCAAATAAATTCCAGGTGATTAGTGATTATAATAAATGCAAAGTAATGCATGTGAATTATCATAATCTGTATATAAAAGTATTCAATGTGTGTGTGTCTCGTAACTCCTCCCAAACCGCTGGTTGCACCGACTTCTAAATGGTGCCAAGTGAATTGTTCTGGCCCCCCGAGGTTTGCACAAAGGTAACTTTTCACGCAACCCCTATGGGAATAGTGATATTTCGTAAAAACACTTTTACATTTATTCCTTGAAAGTGGACCCAAAATTTGGCATTGATTTACATTAAAGCACATAAATAAGTAGGCCTACTAATTACCATTTGCAACTTGGTTAACGAAATTAAATTTGCATTATAGTGGCAATTATCATTAAACTGAAAAAGTTCAAATTAGTAGTTCAAGCATTACATTTGTATTATGGTGGTCCTGTAAATGTGGGCCATAGGTTTGCTATTTTGGGTTATACGCATAATTTTGATGGGACTAACTTTAACAGTGTTATGGGATTAAAGGATCTTGGTTTTCTGGTTAATCAATCTTTTAAACCATCCAAGAAGTATACTATTGCTCGTGTTAGGCCAAATAGGATTTTAAGTTGTATTTATACAAATATAAAGAGCTATAATTTCACTGTATAGGTCACCAGTTAGACCACAATAATGCCAAATTATCTATATCTGTAAAACAATCGAATTTTAAACTAAAAATCAAACATCAAGTTTAAAATGAAAGAGTCCATCTTAATTGGACAATACAGCCCTATTCTAAACCAGAATCCTGGGACGCCAAGATACCTATGCTAATGTCATGACAAAAACTCACTTTGAGATTAATAACATTTTGAGACGGTTTGAATGGGTATCGAAGAGAATTTTATTACAAAGTAACAGGTGTACAGAGTTTTGTTATCATACTTTATATTCATGTGTCTTGGTAAACTACTTGTATGTGATGATGACAAAAACTTGTCTAAACGTTGAACATGTGTTACTATAATAAATTTTTCTTCATTACCCATTCAACCCGTCTGCAAAATTTATATATTTATACTAAGCCATTAAGCAATCCCCGGTCGTGTGACTTCTTTGTTTCACACTCCTAAAGTGTGCGAAGCGAAATTTTTTTGCCGCGGCATAGCGGCTTATAGAATGTTTTTGAGTTGGTTGTTTTTTCAAGTACCAACTGTTAGTTTACAGCTCCGTCATCCCTTGACCTATTTGAGATCTAATTACAGTTTTGGACTCAAGAGGTCAAATCCTTTCGATTGATGTATTTAACCATTCCCAAGATCTCGTAGATTAATTTACTTTAATCCTACTTAAAATAATTTCGGTTTGAGGGTAGGCTAGTAGAGATCCTCATGAGTAATAAAATTGAATCGGGTATACGCGCGCTCCACGATTGATATTGCTGGCGCACAAAAATGTAGCTAAAAATAAAGGGGAAAAAAAAAGTCTCATAGATTAAATTTCAAGTGCCGCTACTTTTGAGGATTCTCTCTTGTTGGCAACAGAACGTAAATCAAAAACCTCCGATACCACAGTCCGGAAGGCTAATCACTGGAGGCGCTCGGCCCTACTTCATACTTATTGTGTTGTTTAAATTTAGTTAATTATTTTTATGGTTTTATCGTATTGAACTATTTAGATATTGAAAAGATATACTGAAGAGGCAATCATTGATTTATTTATAATATGAATAAGAAAAAATTAGCACACCTCCGAATGCAAGCCTGAAATAAAGAAATGTGAATCTATTGTATATTCGTCGTATTTTAGAAGCAAAATTTCAAAACGCTCTCTAGCGACGTTGTGGTGCAGAAAAATAATAATTTGAACAGGGTGTTATAGCTGCTCTACATGACGCTAGAAGTAGTAGGCCTAGTTGTATTCAGATATAGTAGAGGGGATGTGGTTGTTACTACTTATTCTTTTGTTTGGAGTTCTAGCTTTTTTACTTAAAAGTTACTTACAGCATAAAGTATCTTTGTCGGGAGCTCATGTTATGGTATGAATTACAAATATCACTAGTTAGTTCGTAGTTTAGTTCTGAAGGATTTTACCTAAATCGCCTGATTCTCATACTCGTACCAACCGTGCAGCTTTACTCGTAGTCGTATGCTATTGGTACTAGTATTAGTACTATTACTACGGTACCAGTTAGTGAGTTACCAACACGAGCAAACGTTGAGTTAGGAATAGCAGAACTTGTTACGGAGTAATGCGGTTGTCATGACGTTGTTGTTAGTTGCTGTTGTAATTTTAAACATTAGGCTAAATGCAGAAAAATATTTTATTTTGACTATTTTTTAATATACGTGATAATATATATAATTTTTTATTTGTTCCTTATAGTTTCACAATTAGGTGATAGTATTAGTAAAATGATGATACCGATAACCAAATTTATACGTTTGTCTTCAGACGTGACTAAAAACAAAATATTATACTTCTAAACATTGAACCTTTTCTATAAAATTAAAAAACAAAAAATTAATTTAAAAGGCTCTTTGTTTTGTTTTGTAACAGAATTCTAGGCAAGTCCTAGAATGGTTTGTTTTAACCTTTAAAAGTTGTAGAGAAAGGTTACTTTTATTGCTATATTTAATATTTGAAGAAATAATCATTACTCTTCATTATAAATCAATACTTCAGTTCTTTTGTGAAACTGTTAAATTAATAAGACAGATATTAATACTGTAATATTCATATATAAAGAGCATTTTGTAATTCAGTTGTACAACTTCTACTGATGCAACAAATAAAATGTGCTGGCTATATAGTCTGATTTTTATAATATTCCCAGCTAACACATGGCATTTCTACAACATTGCTGAATAGTTGTGCATTAGTAAAATCCATTAATATATATATTGCCAATTTTACCAACTATTTAGCAACGTTGTAGAAATGTCATGCATTAGCTGGGTTGTTTATAGAGATAAAATATTTAAATTTCATAACCTAAAACTAAAATAGTTTTTCTCTACTTTGAGTTAAATTCTAGATACCTGTTAAAATATGTATTATGATAATTCATGGTTTTAAACTATATTGGTTAGATAGAAAAAAAACTTGTTTAAACATTTCAAGTCTTATGAAAATCAGTTATGACTACAAGTCCTGTTGTATGGAAGGTTATTATAATATTATTCAAAACATTTTGTTACTACTGCTGCTGGCTTATTTTGAATTCCAAATAGTTCTATTTTTTATCAGTAGCATTACCTAAAAATTAAACTTAAAACTTATTCACTGGCAATTTTAGGCAGTGGCAGATTAAGACACTTCAGGGCACTGGAATAGTGAATGATATGGGGCCCCCCTCATGCATATTATTTTTGTTGTACAAGATAAACATTACAGATGTGTGTGTATTTATAATTAAATTCAGTTTTTTGTACAGATATATTTTTTAATGTTAATCCAGTTCTAACAACATAGATTTTTGTACATGTGTATTTTTAAATGTTAATACTGTTCTAACAACATAGATTTTTGTACATGTGTATTTTTAAATGTTAATCCAGTTCTAACAACATAAATATTTGTACATGTGTATTTTTAAATGTTAATACTGTTCTAACAACATAGATTTTTGTACTTGTATATTTTTTCATGTTAATACTGTTCTAACAACATAGATTTTGCTTGTATAATTTATTTATTCACAACTATAATAAAATTTCAACTAACAATCCCAATTTGAAAGAAACTTTTTTAAAAAACCAACCACTCTCTTAGAGAAATAAAACTGCCTTAGCTGAAGGTGACTCCAAACCCAACAAAATTTATGTTTGTGTCCCCTAGTCTTACCATTCTGACTCTTAAATACAAAGAAATATGATGCAAAAACACTGTTAGTTCCTTTAACAATCTTAAATACCACAATCAGACTTCCTCTAACTCTTTTTTTTTTCCAAGGGAAAACAATTTCAGAGATTTTTATCTTTGTATGACACCCTTTCCATTCTTGTAACCCTTCTCTGAACCCTTTCCAACAGTTCAATGTTTTCCCTAAGGTAAGGAGCCCAAGACTGAACACAATACTCCTAATGTGTCCAAACCAGTAACTTATACAATGAAATTATAACCTCTCTAGACTTTGATTCAATATTTCTGTACATACAAACTAAATTCCTACTTGGCCTGCCACTAGCAACAGCACACTGCTTGGATGGCGTAAGAGACTGATCAACTATTACACCAAGATCCCTTTCTTTCATAGTACTACTTAGGTTATTCCCATCTAAATTATACTTATAATTCAAATTATGATAACCCACAAGCATTATCTCACACCTTACCTTTATTATAATTAAAAGCCATCTGCCACTGCAAGTCTGTTTTTGTGATTACTTTTTAAAATGCATTTCTTTCAACTATCAGTTCGTAGTGGTTGTTGCCCTGTTTAGAAGTCTTAGTATCATAGTGTAGTGTTATTGTTAAGAATAGGGACCACGGAATGAAGTTTCACTTGGGGGCCCCCATGGAACGACTGGTGCCACGACTCACGTTTACCACATAAATTATTCCATTTTGATGCAGTGCATTTTCTTATGTTAAACATTTCTTGTTGGGAACTAATTTCAGATAACGGGAGGATCTAGCGGAATAGGGAAAGCTGTAGCTGTTGATGCTGTTTTTAGAGGAGCAAGCGTAACGTTGCTTGCAAGAAATGAGGTCAGTAGCTGTTCATGGTCATTCATGTAACTGTAGATAAGTACCAAAGCATTGCTTGATCATTTTCAAACTAGTTTCTTCTATTGTGTTTAATAAAGCATACACAACTTTTGAGGATAAACTAAGAACACACAACGTTTAAGATAATAATCAAACTTTGATTACAGCTTCAATTCTCCATGTGTTGTGTTCAATATGTACACGCTTCCCAGTGTACATCGAAATGTTTTTAAAAGTTTAACCTTTGAAAAAAACAGGCTGTTATTGGCTATTAAAGGCTCTTTGAGCAGTTTTATAGCTCTTAATGTTTCACCTTGTAAAAAAAAATCTAGACTTAAAGAAAGATAATATTTTGCTCTTTATTTAAAATGTAAAATTCAATTCTTAGTTGTAGCTCTGATGCGTGTGTACTAAATCAGACACTCATTGAGGCCAGTGATAGTCTCAGTTACAAGGTAGGAAACAACTACGTTTTAAATATATACCCATATCTGGTTCTGTAGAACTTAATAAATTATAATATCAATCTTTTAAAAATTTATGGTTTAATACAGGCCTCCCAGGAGTGCATGATTATGCCAGCCTTTAAAATAATGGCTAAGTTTGAAAAATTACAGGTTGAAGTTGACTGAAATACGGGATATTTTTATCAGAATATCTCTTGTGGGGGTTTCTGACATAAGCATGTTTAAAATAAAAGAATTGATGAGTTAAACCACATAATAACATAAAACTTATTAAAGCTGCTGCTGAAAGATGTTTCATGAATTATGTTTAAATACGTATTGAAGAATGTTTCTTGGTTAGCCCTTTTAAGCTGAATTATGTGGTATTACTGATAACTAACCTGTTTTTTAATTCTGTTTCATTAGTTTTCAAAATACAGAAATGGTACCATGTAGATGTGTCATGAATTCACTTCTCAACGTACAACTTTTTATTCCGCTTAGGAACGTTTGGAAGCAGCTCAAGAAGAACTACTAAGATTTGTTCGAGAACCAGACAAACAAGTGTGTTGGAAATTTGAAGCTAGAAACTGGATAGAGCATTTAGAGTACTTGTTGAGAAAAATAATTACCATTTTTAAGTTTTTCTTGTCAATCAATAGATTTCTCGTTTTTTAGTGACTTTCCCCTGATAGTAAACAAATGGTCTGTATGTTTTATGTCCATAAAATTACTTTTATAGCATGATTACATTTTATGTAGTAGTAAAATTAATTGTAATTCTCTTTTAAGTACTTAATTCTCCAAGATCCAATGAATAAACTTGCAAGACTTTGTTAAGATTCAGATTTACAAGCATTTGTTGCCTTTTTTTTTATCCAAGAGACAGGTTTGATTTGATTTTGTTTTGTAGTCATTATCCCTATGAATGTTATTGAGACTATTTATATCCTATAGATATCTCTGTAGTGCTATTGATTATATCCTACTAGCTTTTTCAATGGAGAGAGTATGACATATTTCCAGTTAATTGGCCTGAAAAAAAAAAGAGAACACGCATAAAATTATCAGAACACAAGGTCTGTTAACATGTGAATGATATACTTGTAGTGTTAAAATTTATTTGAAAAGTGGAAGATTATTCTAAAGACTGTAGATAGTGTATATAAATATTATGCTGTCACACATGAGAAATATTTTTCTTTTTACAGAAAATACAGATATTTTCCGTAGATGTCACTAAGAATTACAATGCCATAGAAGATGCTGTAAATATGGTAAGACAAAGATAAAACCAGCACTAATTTCATATATTAGAATATAATCAACAAATGGAACAAAAATTACCACTAAATGTGAAATGAAAAATAACAATTTATATGTTAATATTGAAGTTAAACATAGTTTCAAATGGGCATGAAATAGTTCATAGCAGTTTGTTCACTGTTCTAATACATGAACTACACTTATAGCAGTCTGTTCACTGTAGATTAACCATAAAAACATTAGTAACAGCTGTTCTAATACATGAACTACAGTTATAGCAGTCTGTTCACTGTAGATTAACCATAAAAACATTAGTAACAGCTGTTCTAATACATGAACTACAGTTATAGCAGTCTGTTCACTGTAGAGTAGCTATAAAAACATCATTGTTAGGTTTTGTATCTTTTATAAGTGCTAACAAGTGTTATGTTGTGTATTTTTTGGTGATGCTTTATCACTTCTCTGGATTGTAATTTTTTATATTATTCTGTTTTGACTCGAGGCCCAAGAAAAGGCAGGTCCTATTTTCATGCTTGTCAACTGTGCAGGTACATCTGTTAGTTATCGTTTTGAAGAGACACCACTTGAAGATTTTCAGGTCTGTTTAAAACAGTTGGACCACTTCTATATCTAGGATGAGGAATTTATAGTTTTTTTTAATTATTGCTATAATTTGAAAATAGGATTTCTTTTATTTCTTGATGAATGATAAAAATATCAGTCCTAATTTTATGTTACACTTGTACTTTGTGTCTAATCTATAAGGTTATACTCGAAACATAAAGCTTGTATATCATTGTATTTTAGCTTTAAAAGAAACATTAATTCTTAAAGACCAAGTCCTTTCAAGTTTGTGTAAACTTTAGACTCTACCAAAAATAAAACCAAGCATCAATGTCAGTGGTTAACTACAGCAGCAAAATCTAATGCTTTCAAGTCTGTGTAAACTTTAGACTCTACCAAAAATAAAACCAAGCAATAATGTCAGTGGTTAACTACAACAATAAAATCTAATGGTTTCGAGTCTGTGTAAACTTTAGACTCTACCATGAATAAAACCAAGCATCAGTGTCAGTGGTTAACTACAACAATAAAATCAAATGGTTTCAAGTCTGTGTAAACTTTAGACTCTACCAAAAATAAAACCAAGCATCAATGTCAGCAGTTAACTACAGTGGGAATATCTAATGCTTTCAAGTCCATTTCTATGTAAACTTTAAACTCTTCATAAGATAAAACTAAATAGTGACTCTAGTTTTAGAAATAACTGCCTCAAAATTCTTTTTTTTATGTATATAGTATCCATTTTATTAAAGCTCAGATTCCAAAACTTATTCAACCGATAAATTATTCTACATAAATTATGTTAATGTTGTAAAAATTCAATTCCAAAACTTATTCAACCGATAAATTATTCTACATAAATTATGTTAATGATGTAAAAATTCAATTCCAAAACTTATTCAACCGATAAATTATTCTACATAAATTAAAAAGGTTTACAGACAAACAGTAATATAATACATACATGATGGAAATATCTTACAACGGAGGTTTACAGACAAACATTAATATAATACATACATGGTGGAAATATCTTACAACAGTGGTTTATAGACAAACAGTAATATAACAGATACATGATGGAAATATCTTAAACAGTGGTTTACAGACAAACAGTAATATAACACATACATACGGTGGAAATATCTTACAACAGATGTATGTATTATATTACTGTTTGTCTGTAAACCTCTGTTGTAAGATATTTCCATCGTGTTTCTAAATACAATTTCTGTATCTGATGCCAAAGTTCTTCATCTTACTTCCATTTGAAGGGCTTCTGCTAATCCCTGCAAAGCAAATTTGGATGCAGAATATGCTGTGTAACCATACAGACCTAGCAGGCCTGCTAGTGATGAAACAAAAACAATTCTTCCTTTCCTCTGAGCTTTCATGTATGGGAGGACTGCTCGAGTTGTGTAAATACTTCCTAGATAGTTGACACTGATCATTCTCTGAAATATAAAAGATGTTTCTGTACAATTGTTTTTTACACTTTAGCTTTATCCCGACAAAAGTTTCTCTTCTCTGCCCATCTAAACATTGGTACAAGTCATACCTTGTATGCTCCAGTCTTTATTCACCTCTGTATCGCCCATAGTGATTTTAATCTCGTGACTCTCTCCATATGTCTATACATGATCTGTATAGAAGCTCTCATTATTACTTTTTATTCGCTTTTTCTCGATGGTAGAAATTACATTGATGGTCTTACATGATTACTGCAGGTTTCTCTTCAGCTTTATTACTACATTTTCAGTGTATTCTTTTGGTTTCTTTTAGACCTGTTCAAGTGGATCTTTAGTTTATTGTTTATTTTTTTATTCTACAACAAAAACAAAGAAAGAAAAATGTATGATTGACTTAATTTCTTTTGTGCTTTCCTTTTCAGGGACCCTCTTGTCATTTGCATTCAGATCCCACCCTGTAGCGGGTGTTGCCTGGTCATCTATTTTCCTGGTAGCAACAAGCTCTGTTGAGATGGGGTGTTCCATAAGATCACCTCATGCACTTCTCAGGTGGTACATAATTATAACACAAATATACTACTGGACCGCCACTGATGGACTATCATGAGTAAAGCTAAAGGGGATTTTGAACATCCCTGCTGACCCCTCGATTGAATAAATCAGGGTCAGTTTGCTTTTCAAAAAGGGGAATGTGTTCTATTGCACTGTCTATGGAGCATCATTCCTCGGGACTCCCCAGCACAAGTA